TTTTGGTCACCGTCTGTGGTAAACTAGTCCCACTATCATCTAAAAGAAATTCAGGTCACTTAGTCCAGTTTTAAAAAAGTTATTGCGTTTTAAAAGGTGTACGAACACTTTCGTGTGCCGATGTATGTAAACTTCGGTTTTTAAAGATGAATCGATGAGAGCAGGTATTAGAAGCTTACTGTTTAAATTAATTTTCGATGATGCAAACAAATATTGAGTGCGATATTATTTGACGCTTTAACTGTCACACCATCAACAACGAAACTTTTATGAAAATAACCTTTCTCATTGCAACAAATTTAAATGGGAAAGTTAAATTGTATGGGATTAATAACTTTTTCGACATTCCTAATAAAATTTTGTTTTGTTTTGCGGATCCTAATAAAATTTAATTTTCGAATCTGAGCAAAAATAATACCGTTTTGATTTTAATAAAATTTTCAGCCTATGTTTAAGTTAACGAGATTTACAAAATGGATTACTTAAATTTTCGTTACAGGCTCGGATATAAAACTTGAAAAACCATCATTTTAAAATATTTTTATCATCCCGATTAATTGTAATTTTTGAAAATGATTATTCAGCCATTGTGTAGTAAAATTATGCCTCTAATGTCCCAAAATAATTTAGGTCGCTTGGCCCAATTATGCTTGAATAAGTTTACAAGAAATTTATGATGATAATTATAACTTATCTGAAAATTTCTGGTAGAAATATTTTTATAATATCGGAAATTATAAAAAAATAAATCAGAAACCAGTCATTTTGATTACTTTGGTTGTTTTACTGTTAAATCACGAAGTTTCTAATTTCTTTTCAGTCTTTCTGAATAACTGCATATTGTTAATTCGAAGTATATCGTAATGTTTATAAATGTGAGAACAAATGCGTTAAAATAAGTTTCAAAAAGGCGACAAAATATGAACTAACCCCTTTAAAATCACAATGAAGTAATCCTTGAAACAGTTGAGCGATTCTCTACGCGTATAATTACCACTAAAATCACTAATTCGATGAATTTCTTTTAATTTAAATGAATGCATGAATGTGAATATTTCGCATGAATTATATGCATCATAAATTTCAGAACAAATACGTTGAAAGTGTAATAATTTAAAACAAAAACTTTGCATTATCTAACCCTCGCAAAGTCACCATAAAGAAATTACACTGAGAAAGTTGTGCGGTCCAAATACCGAACCAGCCGGTTCCAGCGGGAAGTTTAGAGCGGCGAAAAAAATTCCATAAAATTCGAGAATGCAGGCTGCGTGTGTACAGCTTGGCGACGCACTGACCCTTCCCCGACCGTAATATTATATGGATGCCATTCTCTTACGTATGGACAACTTCGTCTCGTCCTTTCGAATAATATTTTCCCTGTAACCCCTGCGTATCTCGTCTCTTTCTCTCTCTTTCTCTCCCTCTCCCTTTCTCTCTCTTTCTCTAGTGCCCCGTTTTCCGGACTCGTATCCCGTTTCGCGACCAGGGGACGATTTTCCCTACCCCCCCTCTCTCTTTCTCGCTCTCTCTTTCTGGCTGGTCCGCTTCTCTTACATTTATTTATTTCCTAAACGTCCGTCCCCGCCGGCTACTTTATATTTGACATTTTTATTAAACCAGCCGGCAGCCCTGTCCGTAGCGACGTATTTCGGGACGAGGCGACGCGACGCGGCGCGACGCAACGGCGATCTGGGACGAGGTTGGCCGCTAGGTTATCCCATATTGCTGTTAGGGCAGTTTCGTAATCTCGGAAGGGTGGCTCTTATATTGACCGAATAAAAAGTCGTATCCATCGCCGATACGTTCACCGATCGGATATCCCTCCGCTTCTCCCGCCGATCTTTCTCCTCGACCCTTCTCTCCGTCTCCGTCGGTTCCGCGGGTCGGAAGTCGGAAGACAGTCGGTGTGGAAATGATGGAACCCGTGTATCCCGCTCTCTCCGCCATCCCTCTTTTTCTTCTACGCGCAGCCCCCACTCGAGCCCGGCCGTAAATCAATTTTTCATTTTACGATTGCTCTACGTTCGAGGCTGTTGCGGTCACGGGTCTCGTGTAAGCCGTTTCTTGCGCGAGAACGATTTTACGCGGTCGACGGGGGGTGAAAAAAAAACTGTTCTCTCCTCCAGGCTGCAAGTGGCCGCGTAAATCAGAATCGACGGGTGTTGTGCCGAGTATCGCCGGCCCGCCGCGCCCCGCTCCGCCCCGTTCCGCCCACACGTCCGCCGATATACCGCTGCGCGCATTGTCGCGAAATAATGGGACGGTAAATTGACGGGATTAATTTAATTTTATCTAACGTTCCATCGGCCTGGCCCCGGATAACGACCACGGCCTCTCGCTGTAGCCGGATCGGAATTGGATATTGCGTGTGCCCGACAAATAACTGTATGTCCGTGAAAAGTCCAATCGGGTACACGAGCTAATGGCCAGGTCGGGGTTAAAGAGAGTTTCCCTCGTTATCGATCCTCCATGTTCCCGTTTCGACTATCCTGGACGGATCGGCAGTCGATCGTGTAATCGGTGATCGATCGTTCTCCCCCCTCTCCCGCGCTCTTACCCTCACACGCTTGTTCCGTCCAACCGGAGTGCATCACGCAAGTGAAATTCCTCTCCTTCGTCGTTCATCGGGCTTCCTGCGCTCCCTCGACACTTCTCAGTTGATTCCGCGTCTCGCGACGATCCTAACAATCGAACTAGGAATGTCGAGCGAAGAGAGGTAGATAGATAGATAGATATATAGACGGAGAGAGAGAGAGAGAGAGAGAGAGAGAGACCCGGGGGAAAGTCGTTAGAGAAGGGAAAAAAATAAATCCGAGGAAAAAAATGGAGCGCACAGATCGTTTGACGAATCACGAAGCGTCCCTCGGATACTGGGGTAGGTGGGGCACGCTAAGAGGGGGCCAAGGGGATACGCGGTAGAGGGATGATGTTTTTTTCCTCCGCGGTGCCTCTTTAATTTGCCCTCCAATTAACGGACGGGGTCCTATTTGAAAAATACCTGCCACGACGGCTGGCAATTATACTCCTTCCTTTTTTTTGCGCCACGAGCGCGTTATTAGCGCTATCCGTCGTTCCTCTTGCTCCTCCTCACCCGAACTTCCAGCTCTCCTCCTTTCCTCTCTCGCTCCCGCTCTTTCTCTTTCTTTCTTTCTCTTTATCCACATCTACACCCCTCCCGTCCCTCGCCGGGCTGTTCCTCTTCGTTCCCACCATCCGCTCCGTCCACCCACCAACACTCTGTCACCCTACCTTTTTACGTGCGTGTGGCCGCGTTCGCGTATCCGTATCAGCGACAGTGTATGGGTTTTATGTGCATTGCAAAGTGCACGACCGTCGAGGGTGGGGAACTGGGAAGGGGGAGGGGAGGACACACGGGCCTGTACAGAGAAAAGAGAGGAACGGGACACGTCGGTGCGAGACGGTAGGGAGGAGGAAGTGAGACCGATAGAGACAAACGCCGGTAGGAACGACAAGAAGAAGGGTGAGACAGAGAGGAACGGTGGAGGAGGTTGGTGGAAAACGGAGGAGGGATAGAGTCGGGGTGCTGGCGAGTTAGAGGAGTGGCGTTTATAACTCGTGCCTGGGTCTCCAAGCTTTGAGAAGGCCAATTAGCAGCATAAAGCTACAGCTCGGCCCCGGGGCCGAGGATGTTTGTATGTAATAATGGATTGTTACTCAAAGTATCCGGCTAATTAATTAAGCCCCCGCGCCTCGCCGTGCACCCACTCACCATTTTAGCCGGCTGTCCTCCTTCCCTCGAATCGCCTTTAGAACGCGTTCGTTCCTATGATTGTGTTTGCCCGTGATTCACTCTTTCTCTCTCTCTCTCTCTCTCTCTCTCTCCCCTCTCTCTTTCTCTCTCTCTCTCTATCCTTTTCTCCCTCTCTCGCTCTCCCTTAGTCGCAACCGCTCTCCACCGCGGCTGTTTGAATGTTGCCGTGATCGATGCACCCACCCGCATTTCCCATTGATCCTCGGAACGCGGCCACCGGATGTTTCGCCGGCACCGACGGTAACTGCCTTCTCAAACGATGGGATTAATGGGACGAGGGTCGATGGGAGTCGCCAACCGAAGACGCAACTCGTATCTATTATAATTGCTTCGGTGGCTGATGCTCGAGTTATCCGTGCCGCGGACCACGTGGCTCCCAAGGAAGTTGCGTTGCGTCACTCGTTCCACGCGTCGATGCTAACGCACACCGTAAAAGTACACAAGTGTACTGCATTCGGTGTGTTTCACAATTTCGGCCGTTACCTTACGTCCTATCTTGATTTTTTTTAATGCAAATCTGTTGCAGAACGCGGTCTTCGGGACTGCAAGGGATTTACTAACTACTGTGCGCACGTTACAATAGCTTCTCTTTGTGTGTAATTAATCTTGGGTATTCCACGGCTTTTTATCGTTAATTTCTACTCCGACTAATTGCCTAATAGTATATTTCATATATTTCAGCGTCGCATGTGGAATTTTCAATTGTTGTTGTAAAAAACGTGTCAACTACTTATTGATCGAGTTTTATCGCAAAATTATCGTTGCATAGGTTTTTTTAAAAATATATATATATTATTTACGGGAGAAGTGTCTCTTAAATTTTCAATGGCGAAACAAATTTTCTAAACTGTTTGAATTTCGATGAAAATAGCGTGTACGACAAGCTGGATATCCACTTTAATATTTCGAACGAGCAGATTCGAATTAATGCGCCACGATTATTTATTTCCGCAAAATATTCTAATGAAACGCGCCGTTGAGTGCCGATCAAGAGGGGTAGGTGAATGTGCAAGATTTGACACACGATGACGGACGACTAGTCCAATTAGCGTGGATCATTATTGCGCGTTGTCGGCCACTTACTACGCGCAGACGCTTATTACCGCGGCGTTCGTGTACATTACTCGCAGACTGCCTGCGGGACCATTGTTACAAATGCACAATGGCCGCGAGACACGATTCACGATATCGTTGATTCAACCGGTCCTCGTTCTTTTTCTGTTTCCAGACGGCGTTCTAGCCAGAAGCACGATGACTATGGATGTAAGCAAGTCTGAGACAAATAAAAATGGCACCACGCCACAAGAGTGTGCCGGTTGCGGGAAGACGATCACGGAAAGGTGAGTCACCTCGTGTGTTTACTGTTTTTAACAAATATATGCATTACGCTATATTTTTTAATCACTTTCGAGCTTTCTCGTAGTGCCAATCAAATTAGTACCACGCTTAGTATCCACGAATAGGGAGGATACAAGGATAATGATAATATAATAATATAGGATAATAATTATATAATAATAATAATATAAGAAAATACAAGGATAGTACCTATCAAATTTTAACGATCAAATAGTAAAAAATGGAAAAGTAATGAAGATTATCCTTGCGGAGATCCGAGTTGTGAATATACATATATTTCATCTCGTTATTCAAAATCGTAGGGTAGAGGAGCCAGTTACTGTGCCCTGTTGGCAGTCTCCAGGAGTTTTCGCTACTAAACGCAACTTTAGCAATTTAATTGTCATTTCTTAAGAACTTACAGGTAAATTTCAAAGTTTCTTTCGTCGATATTAATTTTCCCATGATACAAGCATCAAATTTCCTTTGAATGTTAGAGGAAAGGGAAAAAGTTTTTGGAGCCAGTTACTGTGTGTGTCTATGATCTATAAAAATCAGTTACTGTGCTCCCTCCGTGAATACTGTGCTTCAATTACTGTGCCGTATCCCGGAGTATTGTGCTTCAGTTACTGAGCTCTACTCAGTTTTTATAATTATGCAAACAAAATTTAATATAATAATACGTCATTCAAAAGTTTACATTACGGATGACTGTTTTAACAAAATTTCGTATTTAAATGTCTCCACTTTAAAAATATAATAGAGATGATTTGAGATTTGAGGTTATGTAGTCTACCCCGTGATAAGTAGCACAGTAACTAACGCATCGCGTGAAAAATACATTCACCTACTGTGCATAATAACTATCGTATCGAGCGAAAGAGGTACAATTACCGTGCAGAGTCGATAAACTATTGAAATTGAAACTAAAAACAAACAATTCAAATAAATAATCACTGTTTCGTTTTTCCGTAATCTTAATACGTTTTATCTATATTTATTTTACCCCTATAATTAATTATAATACTGTAATAAGCTTTACAGAAAATTTCGCAAATCCAGTATCAAAAAACTGAAATCATTTTTGTGATATTTTCAGAACTTCCATCTTTCACATTTTTAATTTCAACAAATAAATAACTAATTGAATTTAAATAAAAAAATTTGATATGCCTTTCTGCAATAAATATAAAGCTAATTATGCTTGAAAATAAACAGAAGGCACAGTAACGGCTACCCCACAGTAACTGGCTCTAGTATCCTATCTGCATTATAAAAGTTATTAAATTTTCATGCATAGAGTGTTATTTTACAAAAATTAAACTGCGGTGCCGCATTTAAATAGTTTTGTGCATTTTGTAAATACTTGATAACTTTCGGAGATTAAAAGGAATTCTAAGATAGTTAATCATAGACCTGAAATCAAACATAGATCAGATCAAAAATATATCTGAATACGCATAGAGATTATTTATCATTTTATTTATTTATGAATTTTTTCCACAGATTTTCAGCGTACTTTTTTTTAGTAACGTTAGTTTTTATATAGACTTTAATGAAACACATCTTTGTTAAAATCATTTTTATTGTAATATATTTGCAGAAACTGAACGTAACTAGAATTTTTGGAATAGAAAAGAGTTAAATCCAGGTGATAAATGATTTTGATCTTATGAACTCTTTTTGGATTTATATGCGGCACTTGTTAAATACCGCGCGTCGCGACGCATACTGGAAATCGATCGTGAATCTTACCATAGAGTAATCGGGAGATGAGAGGGTAGGTCGAAGGTCAGTTTCTGGTCCTCGAATCGCGATAGTACGCGTAGATTAAGTCGCGTGGATGCTGGACTACTGGTCGGTAAGGAGGAAAACTATGGTCGGTTCTTCAGGTTTTACCTCAAGGCCCTGGACCTCTACTGGCACGAAGATTGTCTGAAGTGCGATTGCTGCGACTGTAGGTTAGGAGAAGTCGGCTCTACCTTGTTCACCAAGGCCAACCATATTCTGTGCAAAAGGGACTACTTCAGGTTGTTCGGAAACAGGGGATACTGCTCGGCCTGCAAACAGCAGATACCACCTTACGAACTGGTTATGAAGGCCAGGGCGAACGTCTATCACCTCGACTGTTTTGCCTGTCAACAGTGCAGTTACCGGTAAGTTTGCACAAACCTTGAAAATCAAGAAAACCAACAATTAAATTCGAGCCCACGAGAAAAAATTCGTATTTGAAATTTTCCGATTCCCTGAACAAACTCTTTTTTATCGTACAACAATGGACCTGGATTTACGTTTATAGTTTGAAGCCTCTACTTTCGTAATCTTAGAAATCTTAGAAATCTTAGAAAACATTGAAAAATTATTTTCATCAATATGTTATACTATGTTATAAGATTTTCCAGCAACTCGCTGTTTTTGCAAAAATTGTGATTTTGCTATACAAAGTCGAATTGAAATAAGAATCATTATACTATTGTGAAATTTTATAGGATTTAAGAAATAAAATATATCTTTTGTTAATTGTGTATTTTACATGATTACCTTATTCACCGTATAGAACGAGAAATAATAATAAAAAAGAAATGCCACTTTCACATGAATATATAGTGTCGCCGAATCGACGACATCCGAGTGCAAAGGGTTAAAACTCGATATACGATTTTGTGATTTTATTAACCTTTGAATGTAAACGGGTGCTATCAACTTCGAAGTAATATTTTAGTACAAGAACACACGAAGAAAAATGTCGTATATCCAACGTATATCGGGGGGTCGTTGTGAATGGAGAACTTCAATGTTCAAATCTATGATAAATTCAGTTAAAAGAAACCAACTTTTACCAGGTTCGCGTGCCCTAAAATTCATAAGTAAAACCGATCAGTCGTAATTAGACGCGTCAGCATTCAACAGGCACGCGTGTTCGACTAATCATCGGACTCACCATTTCACGCAGCAGTCCGAATTTTCCCTAAACATTAATGAGAATCGGCAACTAACGAAAACCATCTACGACCGTATCGACGTCAATTGACTCACAGTGCCAATCATTTCTAGCGAACGCGAGCAGCTTGATACCTTGCATTGAATACCGGCGGCCATTATATTCGCGTATCTCTTCCGTCGACCGTGCACTAATTGGACGATCCCTAGGTCGGTCAATTTAATGTTGAACACCATTCGTTAGTGTATCAGTTTTTTCCCCGTGCTGTACTCCGCGATTGCGTTCATTCACCCTTTTTTTTTTGTTGTCGTGCAACACGGTTAACGACTGTGTCGGCGAAGGAGAAGGATCGCGAACCGGGGGGGCCGCGGAGTAAAGACAATAGGATGGACGAAGGAGACCCGTGAAGGGAAAAGGGTACGGAGACATATTGGGGGGTAGGGGGCAAAAGGAAAGAAGCGACTACCGGTTTGCGAGACACAGTCCACTCGGGAGTTGCTTTACAGGTCAGCTGGGAAATCACCCTGTGCTCTATCTGTCGCGGAGACACCCCCGCCGCCCTCCGCAGCGCCATTCCACGCAGGAGACGAACTTCTCGTCGCGTTATTCCTGCGCCACGTTCCTCCACCCACCGCCTCCCTTCGCTGCTGCCTCTTTCCAGGAACCCTCGAGACCAGTTATGTAATTATCTAGATACTGCTGACATTTTTGTATCATATTGCTCCTCGCCGGCGAGCGAGACGGTCCCTAAATGCCGAATGCTCGGGAACCTCGCGAATTCCGGGTACGACTCTAAAATTCTCACGACCCTGCTCCCGTGTCTCGTGAATTGAATCGCGGGACTGTCCCGTTATCTAATATTGATTTTTATGTGGACACTGCGCCGCGAAGGAAATCCGGTAAACAACGGCGGCAGGGACGCGAATTTGCTTGCCTGAATAAAAGACGCGGATGCTTTCCACCTCGCAGACCTCTCGAAAAACGAAATTTTAGAATGGACGCGTCGTGCTCACCTACTCGTAGTACCGTCGCCGTAATTTTCGGACGCGAAGATTTCTTGTTTTAGAATGCCCGATTTATGCGATCTTATCAGCTTGTTATAATATTTTTGGTAAACATTTCTTACATACACCTGAGACCATTTTTGTGTTGCTTTGTTACAAGAATAATGAAATTGGAGGCTACAGTAAAATTGCTTAAGTATCAATGAATAATTGACTGGTTCATAGAATTTTCTTATTACACTGTCAAAGTTTATTCGAGAGATACATTTCTTTTTAGATAAATAAAAAGAAGCTTGAATTAGGAAAAATTATATTTGCGTCGCAAATAGTTTCAATCGTTTTAATATAAAATGAAGTAGTTAGTATTGTGTAAGCTTCGAAATACTCTTTCATATGTTTGTATTACAATTTTACAGACCTTCGTGCAAGCTCGCGTTTTTATTAATAAGTAGTGTAAGAATAAGGAATTAAGGAATCAATGGTGTATTTTTTTGTGATACATCTTTCTATGGCACAGGCGCACGTTCTACTCTTTATCTCAATCTTCTCTTTCACACTTCATGTACACGAACGAACACATGTACATGCACATATAATAACTGCTAACCGCTAGCGCAACAACATTAGCCTAACAATTCTTTTCCTGACATACATCTGATAACTGTCAAAAGAACTCAATTGAACCGAGTCGACGCTAATTTTTCGGAACAATAAAAATCGAGCCGTTTCATCGAATCGAACGTAAAAATTCTTAATTATGTGTTAATTATGTGTGACGATTAAGGTCAGAATAGCGACACCCAGTGGTCGGACCTGCGTATAATTCTCGACCTCCATCGGTACCATAACCCGTAAGGTTCCCTTTTCACGGACACTCTTACGAATGTTTCCTCTTCCCCCGACGACTTCCCGGTTTTTATGTTTTATTAAAGTTCCGCAATTTCGCTCGAGGCAATTCTCTGGTTCGGGGCCTGCCATCTGGCGCGTAAATTACATCGGACACCTCCGAGTAATTTGCCGGGATCCGAAATTTTATTGCAACCGGTAACGAGGCTCGAACCGTATTCCGCGATCCTGGTACTTGCGACGTTCCACGTAGATTCGACACGCCACAGAAAAATCTTGCGTGCGACGTCATGCGCGGTTGGTTGACTGCTATTGAGAAACGGCCGTAGGGGCCGTAATCTGTAGAAGGTGGGCATCGTGTCTCACAGAGAGGATTCGACGACGAGAAATCGAGAAGATAGACGATAGACGGTGTTGAAAATGGAAGAGACTGTTCGGAAGCGGTCAATGTAAAACGCCGGAACTATGGAACCGTGGCGGAACACAATACCGGGCTTATTGACGAAACGAAAGGTTTCGAGGGTTGCCGGCGAGTAAAAGCGGGTTGGCAACGGCCCGGGTAAGGGGTAAGGGGTGCAAAAGAGAGAGTGAGAGAGAGGAGAGAGAGAGAGAGAGAGAGCGACGAAGTGGCGGGCGAGATCGCGGGGGCGGCGGGAAGGAACGAAACGGAACAGGAGAATGTAGTTTGGAGCCAATAACAGTGGCTCGTCCAGGCGTGCGACAAACGTTGTACAGCTTCTCAAACAATGCGAACAAAAGAGCATCAATTTTACGTTTTTATCGCGTGGCATTGTCTATCTTCGACAATGGGGACCGGCGAGCGGCGGGCAGCGGCTCAGCTCTATCTGTCTCTCTTCCTCTCTCTTTCTCTCTCTCTCTCTCTTTTTCTCTGTGCGCGGGCATGCCCAAGGCATCGTGCGTTCGACGTCACAACTGACTTTCACGGAATCAACGGGACCCGCTTTTGTCTCGTAATTCACCCCTATAGAGAAGCGCGAGGATATTCTTGCGGCGGTCACGGTGAAAAGACTTTTTCGCTCGGAACCGGGCCCAACGGCTCCGACAATTGGCTCGCTCGGGGAACGATTACCGGCAAACGGGGCGCGTTGTTCGAGTTTCACGGTGACTCGTTCGACCTGATTTCTATTGCGGTGCCCGCGACTTTGACCATTTCGTAGCTTAATGAAACCACCAAGTACTATCTGGAATACCAATTGGTCCGTTTCCCGTTCGAAAATTGCCGTCCGAGTTTTATATTAGTTCCACCACCCTTCCCACCCCCGCTTTCCGTTGTGCCTAGTGGCCCATGAATCTATGAAACCTTTGCCCGCCTCCTTGGGACGAGTAATGGAATAAAGAATGGAAATATGAAGCACGGTTGTTCCCGTGACGCTCGGCCGCTCAAGGAAATCCTTTCAAACTCGCGTGACGCACGCGTGAAACTGAATAGGATTTGGCTAATGCGTCTGGCTATAGCTGATCGTCCCTATTTATGGCAGCGTTTATAACAACTCCAGGCGATTTGTCTGCCTTTGGTTCAACGTCTCAATTCCTGAAATTATTTGCGTTTTTGCAGCTCTCGTCTCGACAATGTGTTAATGGGCACATTCTTCGTGTCAGTAGAAACATCCGGCAATAGTCGGACACGTCGTTTCAAAGAACCCGATAGTTGCACTGCTAGTTTGCGGTAAAAACCGTATCTGTTTGTACAGTTTATGAACTGTTTCGGTTAGTCTAGTTCTTAACCCTTTGTGGATAAATGTCTGCGCATTGACATTATCAAACTTATTGGACCTGGTTAGCAGTTCCACACAAGCTATTTGATTAGTTACACGGCTATAATTGTGGGGTTCAGCTTCAAATTCCGATATAGAAATACTAGAAAGATTTCGGTCGAAAGTTTCGAGGACAATGGTAAACGCTCTATGGTTTGTCACGAATGAAATTATGAGAGATGACTTGAGAATTCCAACAGTTAGGTCTGAAATAGCTAAGTTCGGCAGAGTAAATGTACAAAGAAACTCGGCAACCATCCAAATCAACTATCAGCAAACTTGCTGGATGAAAGAGTCTAAACAAGCCACTAGATTCTAACAGATTTACCTAAATCGTTACACAAACTCTAGACAGTGTAGTTATTATAATTGGTGAGAATCATTGGATGGACACTTACGTGATGTTATTAACCATCGGTTGATCAATTTTACTTATTGCTCGTAAGCAGATTGTAATAGGAAAATAAAAAAATTTTACTTGGCATAAGATCGGTACTTATTTTACATTTTCAATGTATAATACGCAGTCCAGTTGATTGAAGAAAATGTTATCAATAATTGAAAAAATAATCGTCTGCAAAGAGTTAATA